CTGAAATTTGAGTATGGTAATCATTAGTGAGATATTCTCTTAAATCTTTCGCAGAAGGCATATAAATCCTGTTATTTATGTTACCTGAATGAACCCACTACATTTTCACATTTGGTGATCCAAAGAAACTCCAAGATGACTTTGTGAACTTTTTCCTCAGCTTGTCCTCAACGGTATGCAATTTCCATCTATTTCTGCAACTGATTAACCTCATCAACTTATATTACCAATCCTTTTTCACATGTTGTGGAGGTACTACACCTTTAATACTTCAAAAGATGGAGGCGATCAACATTTGTGAGTTGCTCTTCTTTTTTGAAGGGAATTGTGTAGCAATTTTACTTAGAATTGGAGGGTTTTTAAAAAAAAAAAAAAAAAACAACACAAGATCTCTGTGCTAAAAACAGCAAGCAATTGAAAAAGAAAATTTCCTCTTTTGTAGAAGTTCTTTCAGCTATCCCAATAGAAGAAGAATGCTATCCTATTTTTCTTTCACCAGAGGTGCCTGCAATCCCTTCTTGTTTACTGTAACCTCTCTGCTCTTCTCTTTCCAGGTCTTCTTAACGATCCCTGTTACACACACACACACACACACACACACACACACACACACATACACACACATACACAAACACAGAATTTCTCTTAAATCAGTAGTGACAGGCCTATTGCTATAGGGTAACTAGTGAAACAACTTTCCTTAACTAAAATATATGAAACATGTTTTATTTCATCTTTTAAATTAGGTTTACATGCAAATCTATATATGAAAGTCTAGTTTCATTTTGTAACTGTTTTGATCTTGAAAGGTAGTTATGCTTTTGTTTAATTAAACATCTAGTTTTGACCAAAAGCCATATATAATTACTACTACTAATAATAATAATTAAACAAATTCAATTTCATCACTAATATTTAGTTCATTATCAATGTTCTGAAAATGGCAAGTCATTTTCTTATATTGTATAATTTCAGGTGAGTTGAGAGAATGAACCAGCATTAAGGACAAGCCTTTAAATCTGTCTACAAATGTGTCTTGCCTGAGGCTATTCACTGTTAGTGATAAAGTAAATTTATAAAAACAACAGCAAAAATCCTTTGTCACTAATTAGAAAGTAAATATTCAGTTTGTATCAGAAAGACTCAAGGAAAGCCTGCACTGCAGTGATTAATTCCATTAAAGGACCAGAATGAAGAACTAGACTTCCTCTCCATACCAGAGCACTAGGCTGGCAGCCAGGGGCTTCTTAAGATGTATTTGGAACAGCTCCCATCTCCACAGTCTCCAGAGAGGGCAGGTAACTTAAAGGCCTTCTTCTACACACGGAGAACTAAGTTGAATTACAAAAGAGTACTCAGAGTGCACATATGGAGATCAGAGGGAAACTTTTAGGAGTAGGTCATTTGGGGGCCTTGCCCAGAGCTCCAGGCCTGTACAGCAGGTATGCTTAGTGCCTTTATACAATGATCCATCTCACCATTCCAGATGTACGCTTAATACCCTAAGTATGCTCTAAATTATTCTATGTCCGGGTCTTGCTCAACTCCTAACCTGCTGCATGTTCTCTAGTATTTAAAATACTATAAATAAATGACAGTATTTATTCTGATACTTTTTGGGAAAGACGCTTTTTCCATGAAGCTTTCCCCATTCTTCATTCTCAAGAGTTCATCAAATTTGGTTATGTCTTTCATCTCTTATCACCTGAATCAATATAATATTTGCTGGTATATACATAAATGCAGTATATCTTAACTATGATAAGTTCAGCATTTATGCTTTAGTCACATGTCTGTCCCATAACCATGTAGTGGAATGCCTTCTATTTATTAAACATTTAAATAATATGTGTCTTTGAAATGCTAGGGATATAAATAATACATGATGCATATATTTCTAACTGCATTTTTTGCTTTGTGACTTGCCACTGAAGCATAATAAATGCAAATATTCAGTTAAAATACCATCTGTCTTTCAAACCATTGCCTTGTATCATTATCAAAACAGTATTTTGTGGGCCAAAATACAACTTAACTAAAATTTTGGAAGTTACACACACACACACACACACACACACACACACACACACACACACACAGCTAAACCTCTAATTACAATATAACTCTGGCTATCATTTATAAGAACACATAATAGTGTGTTTATAGTAATTGTAATTTTATAAGTAAGCAACGGCTCACTTACACGGTTTTACAAAACCCAATAAAAGCTTTGGTTATAAAACTAAAATACTTCAGATAACAAAGTGGACTTGACAAGTTTTGAAATTATATTTTTCTCATACATTATAATTTAGTGACCAAATAAACATAATAACTATCAATCCTCATCATTGATACTGGTGAGACAATTTCATTTATAGAGTATACAGCCCCCATCCTTTAGAGATATTTAAATCATCTACAAACCACTAACAACTGTCTTCCTGATTGACTTAATGCTCCTTCTATATATCAGGCGGTATCAGACCTCCTCAAATTAAAAAATGCCATAAACCTTTGCCTATACCCTTAAGCCCCAGTCCATTCACATTCATTTTATATTATTATTATTATTTCACCTTCACATTATTTCTTTTTTTTCCCAGAGAACAATTTACATCTCATTTATTTTTGTGTTCAAAATACAATCAGGGAATAAAATTACTCAAAACAAAGCTTCTGCAAGCTTAAAAAAAAATTCAGCCTCTGTTTGATGTTCAAACCTAACATGTTTTGGTTTGTGGGTTATTAACACCTTATCATGTTAGCCTCAACCATGTGAAATTAACATTTTCTAAATTAGAAACAGATACTAAAAGTTCTATATTCACACCAAATCTACACATCTATTATGATGTTGACTTCAGATAAAAAAGACTCCTTTTCCCAATAACATATTGTGTTCTCCCCCACTTAAAGCTTACAGAAGCAACCAGAATGAAGAATACAAATGTTCAGACCTACCACACTGCATAAAACTCAACTACAAGTGGATCAAAGATCTGAACATAAAAGCAGATACACTGAACCTGGTAGAAAAGAGAGTGGGAACAGTCTTAAACTCATTCACACACACACACACACACACACACACACACACACACACACACACAAAAGACTTTCTGAAAACAATACCAATAAGCTCAACAGTGAATAAATGAGACCTCATGAAACTGAAAGGAATACTGCTGTTTGGGCAATGCAACAGCCTATAGAAGAGAAAAAGATTGTTTTCCAAAATATATAAAGAATTCAAAAAAGTCAAGAAAACAAATAACATGATTTTTAAGATGGGGTACAGATCTAAGCAAGGACTCTCAAAAAAGGAAACTCATGGCTGAAAAGCACTTAAAGAAATGTTCCACATTCTTATCCTATAGGGAAATGCAAGTCAAAACCACTTTGGGATTTCTGTTCAAATGGGTAAGAACAGTAAAGCAAGTAACAGCTCATGCTGTCGAGGGCATGGAGTAAGGGAATACACACGGTTGCTGATGGGAGTGCAAACTTGTACAGCCATGATGGAAATCAGTATGGTGGTTCCTCAGAAAGATGGGAATTCATCTACTTCAAGACTCAGCTATAGCACTCTTGGGCATGTATACAAAGAATGTGGCATCCTGCCAGAGAAACTTGCTCAACAATATTAATTTCTACTCTATTCAGAATAGCCAGAAATTGAAAACAACTTTGATGACCCTCAACAGATGAATGGATAAAGAAATGTGGTATGTTTACACAATGAAGTATTACACAGGCATTAAATAAAAAAAGAAAGAAATCATAAAATTTACAGACAAAAAATCATCCCAAATGAGATAAACCAGACCCTGAAAGACAAACATGTCATTATTTTTTAATTCGAAGAATTTCCTAGTTTTTCTACTGCACTGTGACATTTAGTCTCTTCCCTTTAAAATGTCCCCAGTATCAATCTATTAAAATACTACTTTATCCCAGGCCTTTAAATGCTAAGCTAATACTTTCTGACTGTCTGAGAATTAGTCTATCAACACTAAGAACAAACAACCTGTAGTCCTGCTCCTTACTGTTGGTCCCTTTTGATTTGAGGGTGAAGCAGGCTCTCTAGGGAACACCTTCTGAGAATACAGACATCAGCAATATGTCCATTTCAATAACTTCATGCTGTTGATCTGCCCACATTGTTATAAGTGACTCTCAGCTAATGAAGAAAGTATATCATCTTTGGATATTGAGGAATCACTGACGGGGATGGGCATGTACAAATTGAAAACCGAATTTCAGCTAATATTAAAAATATATTTTAAATTTAAAAATTATCATTCATCTTTTGAAACGCAAATTTATCTCAGTTAATAGTATCAAAATGTGAGCTGGATGTGGGTGAGCAGGCCTGTTATCCCAAAATTTGGAAGGCTCTAGAAGGAAGATCACAAGTTAGAAGCAACTTTAACTGCAAAATTCTAAGTCAGCTTGGGCTACATGGCAAACCTTGTCTTAAAAGAGAGAGAGAGAGAGAGAGAGAGAGAGAGAGAGAGAGAGAGGAATGAAACTAAAACTAAAACAAACCATACAACAATATCAAATTATGGGAGCTAGAAGCATCAATTTAAAAAATTAAACCAGTATCAGTTCACCCTAAGAAACAATGTAGATACAAACACAGTTTAATATGTGTTTAATTAACATATTAATTAACACACCAGGGAGTTCAGTTCCTTCCTTCAATTAATACTTGTATATTATACCACATTTTTAGAAACTGTGGCAATATGTTAGGATTTTCAGTTGAGAGAAGGCTTTATAAAAATAAATTTACAGTTGACAGGGCAAAGAAAAGGACAAAGAGGAGGGAGGGAGGGGGAGGGAAAGGAGGGGAGAGGGGAAGAAGGGGAGAGGGGAAGGAGGGGGAGGAGAATGAGACAACCACTCCCTGTCTTATGTGACAAAGCAGGCATCAGGTGTGTACTGTCTGCGATGCTTGCTTACAGAGCTTGGACTGGTATCAACTCACTCACCTCAGTTAAATGAGGATTGGGGTTAAAACCACAGAGGCTACAGACGGTGGTTTGACACTCAGTGCATGTGTTAAAATTGGCCTTTTCTGGAATGTGCAACAGAAGTTCAGTGGTGTTGCAAAGAGGACAGATGGTTTTAGAGAGGCCTTGTATAGGAGTCTGTGCTGCAGAAGTTGGTGGTGCTTGCAGAGGTCTTCCAGTAACCGTTTGGCTTATTGGTTTCGTGGGCTGCTGAGCTGAGGGTTTAGCCATGCTTGGCTGCTGAGGCTGGGGCTTTGCCGGGGTGGGCTGCTGGGGTGAAGGCTTTGCCAGGGTGGGCTGCTGGGGTGAAGGCTTTGCCAGGGTGGGCTGCTGAGGCTGGGGCTTTGCCGGGGTAGGCTGCTGGGGTAAAGGCTTTGCCGGGGTGGGCTGCTGAGGCTGGGGCTTTGCCGGGGTGGGCTGCTGGGGTGAAGGCTTTGCTGGGCCTGGCTGTTGAGCTGGTATCTTTCCAGGCCCAGACTGCTGAGATGGAGTCTTTGTTGGCCCAGGTACCTTAGGCGAAGTCGGTGGCCCTGGCTGTTGAGCTGGGACTTTTGCTGTCCCTGGCTGCTGGGCCGGGGACTTTGCTGGCCCGGCTGGAACCTTTCCAAGCCCAGGAGTCTGAGCTAGAGTCTTTGGCCCAGGTTGCTGTGATGAGGTCTTCTCTAATCCAGTCTGCTGACCTGGGGGCTTGGCTGTCACTGGAGGTTGAACTGGAGGCTTCACTGTCCCAGCGGGCTGTGCTGAGGACTTTGCTGGCCCCGGCTGCTGGACTGTGGGCTTTGCAGGCCCAGGCTGTTGGGCTACAGGTTTCCCAGGACTTGGTTGCTGAGCTGGTGTTTGGGCTGGACTCTTCTGGGAAGGCTTTCCTGTGCCGGGGGCTTGTGGTTTTATTTTTTCTGCTTGCTGGGAAGATGCCGACTTGGGAGAGCTATCTTGCTGTATCACCTCTTTCAGAGGTCCTTGCTGTTTAGGAACGGACTTCGGTGATGGCTGCTGTAAGGGGGGTTTTGAGATCCCTTCGGATTTCCCTTGGTCCTTCTGAGCAACTTTTTGTTTCTTTGTAGTTTCCTCCTGGGATGCCTCAGAGTCTGATATCAAATCAAACGGGTTGAATTTATTTACAACAGAGGAGACAGCACTTAAAGGGTTAACATCTGACAGGAAACCAGGCATCATACTAGACTTGTACTCTTCCTTAAAATCAGTTCTGGACTTTGATTCTTTCAAGCTAATAGTGGATGGACTCCTTCCAGGCAATTTCTGTTCTGACCTAAACGTGTCAGTAGTTCTGCTTTTACTGAGGCCAGGCTGAGTCGGGCGTCCAGGGTCTGGTGGCTTTCCTGGTTGCTGGGGAGGCTGACTACTATCCAACTCTTGTTTCCTGGAAAATTAAAATAGTGGAAGTTACTTCAAAACAAACCAACATTTAAAGCTCTTGGGTTTGTTGTTGTTGTTGTTGTTGTTCTGTTTTGTTTTGTTTTGTAACTCGAATGTAGATACAATTTGTGTTGCAACCTATATTGATCATAAAACTTTCCTTGTCTGTTATTTTTGAATGGATAAAATTTTCAACAAGAACTGTCACAAAAGCTACTTGTGAGTGATGATAATTTAGTTGTTAAATAATAAAAACTTACGTAAATATACTTACTAGAATATAACATATAGGTTTAAAAAGGTAAAACTGCAAAAGGACAATGTAATGTCACATTGTAACACATTTGTGATTGCCTGTACTGCCTTTTTGATTAAAAATTATGATCAAGAGAAAGCAAAGAGAAATGAGAAGAAAAAGTATTGTTTTACATATAACAGCTTTCTGGGTTAGTTTTTACTTAACTTTGACAACTCATATTAGTTACATAAGGTACACAGTGTGACATTTAGGTGAATTCATGGTAATGGAGCTTACATGACACTTTTTTTTAGTATGCTGAAGAAATCTAATGCTTTACTCAGTTTGCCCTGTTCTACCTAGAATGGTAACACCCATCAGGCACTATCCTTATTAAACTTTATAAAGATCTGTATGTTAATTACTAACCTTGTTTGAGAAACAAATTTTCTTGTACAAGGCCAATATTACTTGACCTTTTCTAATACTTAATTAATCTGAGGGTTTTACTGCAACATATCAGCTAAGGCTTACAGTATTTTGAGATACTTAGAGTATCTTGGTCTGGTAGCCAAGCAGCATAAAACTAGCTATGGTTCCGTTTTTGGAAAATGTTATTACTTTCCTCAGTGAAGAAAAACATGTTACAGCTTCATTCAGTATTTGTGACATTATTTATTGTTACCATTGTAGTTTTATCTATTATCACTGACATTGCTAGGAGGCTGTGACAAGAATCTTTAAAAGACAATTATTTCTTTTAAAAACATTATGTAGATATGCTAAACCTTAAGTAATATGAGTTGAATAATTAAAGTTATATATGTTAAATTTTGAATAAGCCATTTTTTTTCAACAACCAAAGTATAGCTAACTGCATTCCATACTGTAACTTGGGGAAAGCCAGATAAATACTTTTGTTTTATTTATGTCATTTTATATTTGGAAAATATATGTTTCTTTTTGAAAGAAACAGAAAAAATAATTAATAATTTGGGAACACCTGAAATATGTTCACAATACAATTTACATCTTTTATTCAGTCCAAAATTGGCTAGTTAGGGCCACAGCCACATATTTTCAACTTTGTGTTATTTAGTTATTTTCTTCAGAACTTCCTTAATCCTTACAACCTAAATCGGGATCGAAGAGAAGGATGAAAGAAATGAAAAAGTATAACTTGTAGCAAAGGCTTAGAAATAAAATAATTTTCACTGGCACATATGCATAAAATGATGTAACAAAATGAGTGGCTATGGTAGGTTGTAACTCACTGGTACTATATCTGCATGGTATGTGGAAGGTGATATAATTGATCGCAGCAGTATATAATATTAATACTAACAATAATAAAAGAGTTTAGGCAGTTTCCTCCAGGAAATCGGTTTTTTAAAGTAGATATTTTACTATGTTTCCAAAGCTTTCACTTAAAAAGAAACTCAAACTATTTCCTGGGTTATTTCCAAAAGGCCTGTGATATTATTTTTTAATCATTGCTACACATTTACATTTGGACATATTGCAAATGCTTCTTTATAAGACTCCCTGTCTGTGCATGGGAAGGAATAAAAGCCACAGTATATAACTGAAAATAGGTTATTTCCAAAGAGATACATGGTATAGATTTTGGCATTATCCTACAAATGTCTCACATTCAATTAATACAATGCAAAACTCTACTGAAAGGAGTATCTGCAAAATCTAACTTGGTTTTAGGTGCTATTGGTATGTAAATTCAAGTTAAAAAAAAAAATCACAGGATCAGCTTAACACCAAACAGAAATGTAAAGGTTCCTGGGTGAATATGAGATTTTGAACTGTGTTTGCCATAACAACCATTCTGCTAAAAAATAAACTAAAATGCAATCTGTGTCTTATATACAAAACTGTGTGCTAGAACACATTTCACTCATCTTTTCATTGCTAGAATCAAACCTGGCAACTAGGAGAAAAGCATTAATGTTTGATGAATCAGTGGATAAATGGATGGTTTGCAATATGAAAACCAATGAATGAACATACCAGGTTTTTGCTCCACTCTAGATTAAAGTTTCTTGAGTTCTTTTCACCTCAAAGTCTTGTAAAGGTTTTCTAAGTTTTAAATAGATACTTTCCATATTCACTTAAGAACCTGAGCTTGACCTATTGTTCTATATTTAAAACAAACAACCAGTGGAGCAGATGGCCACTCAGTAGGGGGGGGGCTCACAGGAGCTCTAAAGGAAATCACCAATTCACAATTCTTATCTTCTATCACAAAAGTTTTTCAGTGAGCCATCTCAAATCACATGTTCACGAACAAACTGGATAGTAGCAGCAAAAATGTCTTTCACTGAGGCTACCGTGAATCAACATTTTGAAGAATTTTGTTTGTCACCTTATTCTGATTTCAGCTTCTTGTGTTTAATTCTACATCCTTTTTTCATTTCACTATTGCCATTCCCAGATTAGCATTTTTTTTTTGTCATAAGTTAGTAGAGAAGATGATTTAGATAAAATGATATCTCGGGTATATGCGAACATTGTAACATGAAAGCAGCTGAAATGATGAAATGTTTTTAAATGTAACTCAACAGTAAATGACAATTTGATAGTTCTGAGTCACATAAAATATTCCATATCAGAAATAATAATAATCTTAGAACTATTTACTCACTTTTATACCAGAGAGGATGTGAGATTTAAACGGCTAAAAGAATAATTCAAAGTCATAAACTTAATTCAAGCAGTCTGGCCGCTAGCCTAAGAAGGGTTCTGCTGGGAGGACTCACACTTACTTACTCATATGTAAAGGAATACAAATTTGCATCAAAAGTATTTCTGACAGTGAAAAACATAACACACAGTTTGTCTGTGGCCATAACTCAGAGTTTTCCATTGATGCATTGAGATTTCAATGCTTTATATTTGTCATACTCCTTAATATGAAAAATCCAGCTCCCATTCTCTCTCCTCCCCAAATCACTGTGAACTTTTGAGTCATACTCAAAATGACTTCCTGAGACAGGTGAGACAGGTCTTATTATCTTCCTTAGCAGCAAGGAACATGAGACACTCATGGGTCTAGAAAGGAATATTAATTTGCTGTGAGTCACATAAAATCAATAAGATAAGAAATTGAGTCTTGGAGCTCAAAAATCCTTACTTCTCAAAAAGAAAAAAAAAAGGTAGAATAAATAAATCCTGCCATATCTTAAATGTATATCTCTTACCTTCTTAAATTTTGAATTAATTTGAACCCTTTATATACATATATTTAGTGACTATGAGCCTGAAAATCTAAATGACAAGGTCAAGTGACACTCTCATTATATACGTAAGTATATGTTTTTCCAAAATATCCTTTATAGAAAGACTTCAGCAAATGGCAAATGTGTTGCTAAAATCAGAAATTCTGTGTGCATGTATTTTCAAACTGTTACCTATTGTAATTTAGGGCACAAATTGCCTAATAATAACAATCCCAAAGTATCCAGTTGCTAATAGGGAACTTGGAAAGTTCTCTGCAATATACATAAAACATAAAGTAAGAATTATACAGACAGAAATATTTCTCCAGTGTCTGTTGTACAAAAGCAAAAGTACAAATATAAACACCAATGATCTCACTTGTATTTGCAACCAGGCTAGACCTGTTGCATGTACCCCACTGGAGAAATTCTAGATCTGGCTCGTGATAGCACTGCATCTCACTATTATTCTAAAAATGACACAGTAAATGCACATTTGATTTTTTTTTAAGCCAGTATTCCAGCAAGCAGAGAAAGACAGCTCATCTTGTAAAGTATTTTAGAAGCCAAAACAATAGTCGTTTCCAAAACAAAAAGCGCATTTTGGGGGCTAATTTCCATGCTATTGTAGTTTTTTTCTAATTAAATGAGGACTTTTACCTGACAAATTTCCAGCATTTCCGATATTACATGAAAACAATATCACCGTCTTTCAGCAATTTAAACTGCTCCTGGGTTAAGTTTATTATGACATTTGGCAAGACTATGCATTCGTATTTGCATGCTGGTAACTAAGTGAAAAACATTTTAAGTTTATGAAGTAGAGCGTTCTACACCTATACTTACAGATGTTTCATACTTTCAGCCTCAAGTAAAGATTGTGGAAGTCCTGTCAATCCCTGTAAAGGATGTTTCAGAACCATGGATAGATATTTTTCCTGCTGAAGGGTGTAAAGTTAAGGGGTTTGTTTACAATAACAAAGGCTGACAAGCATGATTATACCCTCTTGGTGTTCTAATTAGACAACAACTTATTCATTAGGAAAGGGCAAAATAGAAAGCTAGTGAGGAAATGAGTATGTTAATATTACGAATTAGCTTTTATAATTGCCTGTTCAAATTGTCATGTATTTATTTTGTTTTTAAGTGTGCACTGAAACCTAATCTTAAGGTAATACAAATTCACATGTTCTATAAACCAAGACTTCTTTTTTTTTTTTTGCATTAAAAAAAAAGAGCAATGGTTTAAAAACTAGCATATGCTAATTCAGAAATACATGTACAGCACCTGCTCTGCTGTGACCAAACCATCTGTTTAATGTCACAGAATATCTTAGGGCCTCTCGCTGAATATAAAAGGTATATTTATTCCATGCCTTTTACCTAAGCAGTTCCTGTTCTCTGGGGACAGGCTGGGAAGGGAGGACCAGTCACCTCCAGGGGGTTAAGGGTATTGTTACAGGAATATTTACACATCATTCTCAGAGAAAAAGACCTCAGAATACTGAAGGGGTTTAAGCGTTCAGGTAAACACCCAACCCAGCTCTATCCATTTTTCAACACGTCTGTGTTGTATTAATGGAAGATTTCCAGATTAGTAAAACACTGTAGGGCGTCTCTCTACACCTCCCTAGAGGAAAAAGGTTCCAAAAGGCCAAAGGGGTGAGGGGATCACAACCTAAAAGCACAATTCCAAGAATGCAACCCATGACTATCCCACCAGAAACTCTACACTGCATCATTTTTATTCCGCCCATCCAGAAGCTCCTGATCGCCTTATCGCCACCCCAACAGGGAGAATAAAATGAAGGGAGGCGACATATATGTACCACCGTGCGGGCACACACACATACGTGCACGGGAAGAGGTATATATATGCCTGGACCTCTCCATCATGCTGTGCGTGCCTGTGCATGGAAGGCGACTCCGCAGCGGCCGCGGGGACGCTTCCCTTGGGCAGCCCCTGCGCCCTTGACATGACAGCAGCGATCTGTCTCCTCTCCTCCTCGCTCAGCTGGCTCAGGTCCGCCTCCATGCCGGCTGGGATCCCGGGGTGCAGGGCGCTCCCCGAGCCGCCAGCCCCGCCTGCGGCCGCCGCCAGACCTTCGGGGAGCCCTTCCCCTTCCAAGCTCGCCTCGTTGCCCATGGCTCGGCGGGACACGTCCCGGTGCAGAAGCCCGCGGCCGTCCCAGCCCCGCCAGCCGGGGTCCGCCCCGGGGCGTGCACGCTGCCCAGCTCTGGGGGCTCCGCGCCCTCTCTCCCGGCTGCCCGGAGCAGCAGCGCGGGCTCAGCGCCGTCCGCAGGCGTTGCCCGCGGCCGGCCGCTCCTCCATGTTGGACAGCGCCAGGCGAGCTCCGCACACGCTGCCTCCGGGTTGCCGCCTCAGCGCCGGAGCAGCCCAGGAGCGGCAGAGCTCGGCCAGCCCGGCGCCGTCGGCCCCGCCCCGCGCCCCGCCCCCTCGCCGCCGCCGCAGTGCGCGTGCGCCGCCCCGAACAGGTGATGTCCGCCACGCCCACCCGCTCTGCGTCGCGTCGCGCGTAGGCGCCCAGGCACCGGCTTAAAGGCAACGGGTGATCCCGCGGTAAAAGGCGGGACGAACTGCGGACGCTTCTATCAGGCACGTAGCTGGATGCCTCAACCTGAGTTTTCCCGAATTCGGTTTAAGGGAGAGGGAGGTGGGGGTGATGGCTGCAGCTTTGCCTCCTGGGATTTGTAGTTTAGGGTACACCCCCCCCCCCCAAGAGACTGTGGAAGGATTTTTTTTTTTTTTTTTAATCTACTGGGAAAGGTTCAGGTAACTAAAGATAAGGGAAAAAAGAATCCGTCTAGGTTTTGAGGTAAATTTCCAAGTATGAGCTAAAACGGCCCTTATGGTCGAGAACTTTCCTAGAACCATTAGATTAAGACTTTGCAAAGTGATGTATTAGTTGATAGGCATGAATTTTGAATGCTTATACCTTGCGCTTGTTCCTCAATGGACTACACCAAGGTAAAGAATTATGAGAAATTGTTCACCAAGAGAACGTGTTTTTAACGTGTGTTACAGTGATGTGAAACTTTGGGGTCATAGTTTCAAACCCTGTCCACCCCTCTATTGTTTTTATTTTACAAATGTGAAGAGAAAAGCCGAGTAGATAAATCTCATCACACAGCTGCTTAGCAACAGAGATGCCTACATTTTCAGAACTGCAACACCACACACACACACTCCCTACTCTTCTTCATAAAGATTATTTTAGTTACTGCTGGATCTGAAACTCCAAATTTGCTATACAATATTCTCTTATAAAGTGTATTTAATGTCTCAATTTTTTATCTTAAAGAGGCCAAAACTAAGCATAAGGAGTTAGATTAATACACCGATACGAACAGGTTCTCAGAAATTCCCAAATTTTGGCAAAAAAACAAACAAAACATAACACTATGTAGTAGGTACGAGTTTTCTACTTCCAATCTGAAAATCGGCACAATTGCAACAAACTGTGACTAAATTTGCTGTATTTAAAGATGGCTACTCAACAGGAAATTGCCTTATTTGTTGTGTCATTAGTAACCAATTAAATTTTGATTCTTTGATAATATATTAGGGATGTGACTTTCAAAGTCAGAACTCCAAGAGTCATTCTTTGAGAGAATGTTTTCACAAACAAGTTAAGCCTAGAGGCAATCAGACTTTCTGATAGGCCATTTAGAGGCAAATAGAATATGCTAATACTTTTCAAAGGGAATTTATTCCAAAGAAGAACACAATTAGGCACAAATCCTGCACCTTATAGCATTTCTCTTGGAGAACCAGCAACTGTTCCATGGTGGTCGTTGCAAGGAAATTGACATCATCTCTAGAACAATGGGAAAAAGGAAGATTCACATGTTTATTGTTTTCTCAAGCTTTGAGAGAATAAAATATTTTCTGATGTATGCACAGCCACAAACCACAAGCTTAAAACTGCAGCTTTAGAGTAACGATTAAACTGAGAAAGTGCCATATTAATTTTCATATTCTCCTCTTGCAGATGGAAAAGAACTTGGGAAGTAGTAAGAAAAAAGTCAATGATGATCTGTATGCGGACTAAGAAAATTAGTAGTTTATAAAATAGGAATTAATATATGGCCTGTTTTTGAAAAGTGTACATTCCCTTTCTTCTTTCCACCCTTCCCCCAGAAGCAGACTCCACCAGAAAATGAGAATAGGTTGCATGGTAGAAAAATAAATGGACTGTTAAATGAGCTCTAAGGACCAGAGAGCTGAGGGTATGTTTGAAGTGTAGACTTTCAAAATTGACTCTGTCATCAGGACCTTTTTGTAAAGCTATTTTCCTTTCCAATTGTCTATCTGGGCTCGTTGGCTAGTCCTTGGGAGGTGAGTTGTTGATGTTGTTATTGAGACAGGGTCTTAGGTAGCCCAGACTGACCTCAGACTGGTGCTATAGCTAAAAATGGCTTTGATAGCTTACTCCTGCTTCATGTGTGGTGCTTGGGATATTAAATCTGGGTCTTCATGCCCAGTAGGCAAACACTCTACCAACTTTGATATAAACAGAAACAATAAAGCACAGTCTAAAAGTGCTTTCTTTATGTGTGAATTATCAGAAATCTGAGGTACAACTCAGGTAGTATAGTATAATGGCTAGAACTCAAGTGGTGGATTATGTCATGAAAGTTCTTTTTTTTTTTTCCCAGAAAAAGAAATCACTTGGATTTCTCTGAAGAATAAAAAGGAGGCAGTTTGAACTAGGGATTGCTGTAGATTATACATCAAATTAGGCAGATTGATATGGTCAGAGGGGAACTTCATGTCACTTATTTTGGACAGGGAAAATGTCTTCAGTGCTACAACCAGTGGCTGTATGGTGTTTCATAGGACCTGGTATGTCACTGGTACCTTAAGGCATAGTAAACAGACTGGTGATGCCCTAATTAAAATATTTGTTGCCCAGAGTGCAGGGAATCATATGAAAGAAGGGGGAGTTAGTAAGACCTGAAAAGGATAGGAGCTCCACAAGGATTAAATATATCTGGGCACAGAGGTCTTTTCTGAGACTGATTCTCCAACCAAGGACCATGCATGGATATAACCTAGAACCCCTGCTCAGACATAGCCCATGGTAGCTCAGTATACAAGTGGGTTCCCCAGTAAGGGGAACAGGGACTGTCTCTGACTGAACTCAGTGGCTGGCTCTTTGACCCCCTCATCCCCGCCCCTAGGGAGGAACAGCCTTGCTAGGCCACAGAGGAGGGCATTGCAGCTGGTCCTGATGAGACCTGATAAGCTAGGGTCAGATGGAAGGGGAGGAGGACCACCCCTATCAGTGGACTTAGAGAGGGGTAGGGAGGAGATGAGGAGGGAGGGATGGGGAGGGAATGAGTAAGGAGGCTACAGCTAGGATACAAAGTAAATAAACTGTAGTTAATATAAAAATTTTTTAATTAAAAATATTTGTTGCCCTGTGTTCCTCATAGAGGCAAACTATGACTTTTTAATAAATTTATATTTAATTGAAAATAGTTTGGATCTAATTCTTCCATCCTGATACAATGATCAGGAAACAAGTCAATTTATAAAATTTTCTATGATACATGCCTTTTATCGACCTAAATTGGTAGCTTCAGATATGAAAGCTACCAATCTTTTCATTTACTTCTATATATGGATAGATTTTAATGTAGTATATAATATGATAGTTAGGAACTAAGCATGGCTGGGAAATACCTTGGAAAGCAGTTACCCCATTTTACCCATGCCCTTGCAGTTATCATTCATGCTAAGATATTTTAAAAAATCACATGTTACCATATATGAAAGATCTAAACTAAAGACTATGAAATAATTGAAATGATAGTAGCTTGCAGTTAGGAAGGAAAGTTGAGGGTTTGGGGAGGAGGGACAGATAAGGAAGAGCAGGTGCGAATGGCAGGTAGCTGCATTTGTACACTATGAGCTACACTAAAGATGTATTGAAAGCTACGCTGGGATGAAGCGTTGGTTTTCAGAGTCAGAACTCATAAAATCTAAAGTCCCTTTCACAGTGGGACTTCCAAATTGCCCATCAAGGGGTAAAGGAGATTTCTTTTATTGAAATCAAAACCATTCTTTGTTCTTGTTCTGACAGAAAAAAACAACCAAGCTCCAATCACAAACCGAGGTGGGAATGTTATATAACTCCAAGTTGAGCTTAACAGCTTTTCCTTCTTTATATCCTAATATCTCAGTGTTCTTAAAGCAGCCCAAGGTGTTAAGATTACATGGAGAAAACTGTAGTTCCCTAAAAATACAAGTTCAGGGCTAAGGTTACCTCAGCAACCCTTAAGCCCTCTGAAGAAGGTGGGCCCCCTTCTGGTTACAGTTACATCAGTGACCTGAGTGTAAATGGCAGAACCAAGAGGTCAATATCGCATCACAAAGGATCCTCATGGTGGTGGTGGTGCTGTTAATAGTAATGCGGTATTAATACAAGGAAAAGCTGCTCTTAAATCACATGGTTTGTGGTTTCAGTTGAACTATATAACTGGTAGTGAAAGATCTTGCATCCTGTAATTATACACAATGCTTTAAAGTTCCCTTTTACTATGTTTTGTATATTTACTGTTTATTGTACTTCTGATTCCCTTTGTGTGAAACTGAGATTGACCCATTTATTCAAATCTTGCAGATCTATTCTTCTAAATTATGAAGTAGAAAAGTCCAGTTATCTTGAACACGTACATGTCTGTTTCATGAAAAGCCACAATAAGAATGTTAAAACTCTAACAAAGTTACATTAAACCATCCAAAACTTACTCATGAGAAGTTTGTTTGTTTGTTTGTTTTTTGAGGGATACTTATACATACCTACTAGGAACTGCTGAAGGAAAAGAATAACAGTCTCAATGTCCTCTGCAAGATGGCTACATGACAGGTGTCCACATCCCTAGAGGAAACGAGGACAGAAAAATACGCGTGAGAAATTACAAACATAATATAAATTATTATCTATTGTATAAGGTTTTTTTTATATAAAACAATTGAAGCCGTCTACTATTCGGTTACTACTCAAGCCCTAAAGAAACCGAGATGACACCATACAGGGGATACTTGATGTTATAAAGTTTCACAATGTGTGTACAGTCAGATATTTTCAAAATGGAAGTGTACGCCTATTTGAATTTCTCTGCAGAATAAAAAGGAGACAATTTGAACTGGGGACTGCCATAGATTATTGCACAATTAGGTGGATCCATGTGATAATAAGGGAACTTAGCAGCACTTATTTTGGAAAAGGGAATGTATTCAGGGCTACAACCAGTGGCTGTGTGGAAC